ATACTCCGCTTCCAGTCCTTGGCCGTTTCTCTGCCGCTGACGAACTGGAACTCGTTGGGTGTGAGCCACTCGCCCCTGTGCTTGATGGAGGGTCCCTTGCTGCCCTGGCACAGTTTGTTTATGTAGAGCAGTGCCTTGTTCTCGCCGCACTCCACCTCGATGCACGGCTCGCCGTTGTCAAAGAACGGCTGAAAGTCGGGGATGGAGGAGAACCTCTCGAGCATCAGGTCGTCCGCGTGCTGGTGATGGAGGTGCTGCCGGTGCAGTGGCGTGTCGCGCAGCCCCAGGTAGGCGCGCGGATGGGCGAAGAGGTGGTCGTACGGCGGCGGATGAGGGGTCACTACGGGGATCGCGGCGGCATTTAAAGGGGCCAAGTATTCGGGCTGCGCAAAGGCGCCTAATGCCATGTCTTCTCCGTCCAATCTCTCCTTTTTGACGGCAGGCATGTTAGCGGTGGAGGAGTGAGTGGCGGCTCGCGCGAGCCAACTTGCGCGTCCTCTCTCTCTGTTTCTCTCCCTCTCTCTCTCTCTCTCTCTCTCTCTCTCTCTGTGTGTGTGTGTGTGTGTGTTTTTTTTTTTTAGAGTTCAGATGTCGGCTCGCTCCTGACTCCGCTCTGTGGTTTGTTTTCTTTTCTTTTCTTTTTTTTTTTTTTCCGTGGGACTCCACGCGCCGCTGTGCTGTGTGACGGCAGAGCGCGTGCGTTTTCAGCAGCGGGCTCGCTCCGCGCGCTCTTCACTGCGCTGCTGGCGTGACGGGTTCCGGCGCGCTCCTGCCCACCGCATCTAATCGGAGCCGCTCCGCTAATAGGCCGCCTGCCACGCTGCCGCCACGCTGACTGCCACCGCCGCTTAATTAACACCAACTGATCCTGGATCGACTCAGCGCTGCACTTAGGTGTTTCCTTCCAATTACCTCCGTATACTAAATTTAATTTACACTATCCTCCCACACGCACACACACACACACACACACACACACACATATTATACATATATACATACACTACTCTGGATTGATATAAACATAACCTATTCACCTCGTTCCTATCAAGTTTTTATCAGTATGCAATCTAATATTTATTATCTCCAGCCTAATATTAATGTCTTATTTTAGATTCAAGGGTAAAACCATGCTGCAAAGGTAAACTTCTTATTTCTGACAGAGACCAATATTAATTATCCTTCTTCGCTCTCTTATATTAATTTGCGTGCAGAAAAAATGTCTACAACTAATGTGACGTCTGCTTGTTTTATTTATTAATTTTTTCCCTGCCTTTAACCCTCCATGTGCCGTTAAAGTCACGCTTTAGTTATACCCAGCCCAAACAAGATTTGCGCTCTCCGCCGCTTCTCTAACTTGGCCCATTTAAACAGCGGAGGTAGTCCTGGCGCCAAAAAGCGAAGGGGGTTTGCGAGGGACGGCGGGGAGTAACCCTTTACAATCGCCTTAATAAACAGCATTACTGTTTCGAATCTGACTCTGCCTTTCATATCTTATTTTTCTGACATTCTGTCACTGAAGGCCAAATCAGATTTACTCCTATAGCCCTAAACCATGTCACACTAAATTCTTAATAATTAATTGCCAGTTAACACATTAAGCAGCAATAAACATTAAATGGGGTCTTTACAGCGCTGTAATTTGCTGTCCTTTCGTGTGAGCCAATAAAATGGTGGGACCATAAGGCTATAGATTGTAACAAGACAGTGTAATGTGGTGCTGTACACAGCAGAATTGCTTTGGCAATATTATAATAAAGAGACCAACACTCTGGGGATTTTTCCTGTGTTTTCTGTCTGTTTTATTATATCTCATAAAATATGAAATACAAATTATGTTGGCCTACAGGTCTTTTTTTTAAGAGATATAATATAACATCTTAATAGATACATTAATTACCATAGAATTACTTTAAACACATAAATCACTTACTAATAAATGACACAGTGTCACTGTTAAGGTGATTGTGACAGCCACCATATTCAACCAATAGAAAAGTACATTTCTGTTAGATTTATGGATTATTATTATCATGTGAATTTGAATCAGCTTGTCCTTTTTACTGATAACTCATATGCATCATTCTGAATATTAAAATGAGTCATCTGATTAGTAAATCCTGGACAGGAACCTGTAGGGACCCCCTTTCCACCCTGTCATGCATGAACCTATGCAGGAAACATTACTCATTTTTTAAAATGAGTTAAAAAGAATTAGGACCTAACTGACTGCTCATTGGTTACAAATTTAGACCTACATACCAATAACATTTCTGAATTTATTTCAGATTTTGTGACTTTACATTCATTGGTTCATATTCTATTAGCCCACTGATGCTGATAGGTGCTGTGACTTAGCATAATGACCAATCAATCTAATTATTCAGTTTAAATTTATGCTTGACTAGGGCCCCCCGGTGGCCAGGGTCCTTGGGCACATGCCCAGCAGGCCTAGTCAGTAATCCTTCCCTGCATCAGACCCAATTTACTGTTAACCCATAACACACTCTGGCACTCTAAAATGTCTTTGATTACACATTACTTGTAGTCTATATGCTGCAGTAGCATTAATACTGTAATACTACAGTAATAGTACTGTTTTTTCTTTGTTTTTTTTTTGTTTTTTTGTTTTCCTGAACAAATTGTTCTGAAAACTCTTGCTTCATTTTCTGCTTGTTCCATTGCACACAACCAGAAACGCTGTTGCTTCTGAAGAACTCAAGACATGACACAACTTATCATACTCAGGAAGTCAAATTCAGGAAGTCAACATTGCCTCCACAAACACACCACTAAAGGACTGGAAAAATGAAAAGGTCAGGAGGTACTGAAAGATTATTTGTATTTGTAGGAGATCCCTGAAACCCTATGTGTGAGGATCCCCTACGGGGGTTACCCCTGCCTACACACACGTACCCACTCCTCTCTTCATACGAATCATGAGTGAGTCATGAGTTCCTCTCCAGGGACTCAAAGAGCAACATTTACGAAAGAGGGGTTCCCCTGAAATTACAGATGATAGTGGTGTACATCCCACACACTCTAGATACAGGAAGGGTTCCCCTGATCTTTTCAGTCCCCATCTCACACACACACACAGTCTTATGTTCTCTTCCTCTATCACCCTACTATTTAGTGGCAGCCACCCACTTATTATGAGTAGAATATTTACTTTTAATTTCATCACTGGCTTTGCAGGAAATCTGAACTGCCTTCAGGAACTAGTCTAAATCTCAGTCTGTATTGACAGACAGATATTTTTGTGAACCTAAAAAATTTAAAAGTTTTAAATAGAAGTACTGTCCAGTATTACAATAATAATTATAGATGAATAGGAATACATGTCATAAAGCATCCTGAAAGTCAAAAAAGTAGACAGTCTCAGTCATTCAAATTTTGAAGCCCTAATTTATATGTTGTGCCTGGATCAGTATTTGCCACGTTAATGGACGTTTTTCTGATGTCCAGTATGGAGCTTTGAGTAAGCGAAGCTCTATGTAATTGTTGACACTTGATAAAGTGAAGTAAAAAAAAAAAAATCTGTCAAACTTAAGAACAAAATGTAAAACTATTTACAGTGCTGTCTGTTATAAGACAAGCTGTTTTTGTCTGTGTGGACAGAGTACAAATTCTGTAGCTAACATTATACTCTAATGTGGGTTCCAGTGTCATAGTTGATTTATATTCATTCATCTTCAGTGCTTAATCCTGGTCAGGGTCACAGTGGATCTGGAGCCTATCTCGGGAACACCGGGCGTGAGACAGGAATATACACCCTGGATGGGACACCATTACATCGCAGGCCACCATGCATACACACACACATTCACACCTAGGGCAAATTTAAGAAGAAGCTTTTTTTGGTCACATATACATTACAGCACAGTAAAATTCTTTTCTTTGCATATCACAGCTTGTTAGGAAGCTGCAGCCAGAGCACAGGGTCAGCCATATTACCGCACCCCTGGAGCAGAGAGGGTTAAGGGCCTTGCTCAAGAGCCCAGGAGTGGCAGCTTGGTGGTGCAAGGGCTTGAACCCCCAACCTTCTGATCAGTAACGCAGAGCCTTAACTGTTGAGTCACCACTGCCTCAAAGAGTAGCCAATCCACCTACTGGTAGGAGGAAACCAGAAAACCTGGAAGAAACCCATGCAGATATGGAGAGAGCATCCAAAGAACAAGCAAAACTCCACACAGACAGTAACCCAAGGTTAGGAACCTAGAACCCTGGAGCTGAGAGGAGGTGACTCAACTAGTTGTACCACCATAGCAAATTTATTCTAAATTTGTGATACAATATTTTTAGACTCTTCATGCTTTAGAGCTAAACTATATACAATATACAGTAGTTCTTTTATTCAGAACATTTCCAGCTATTAAAGTCTAATTTGTAAAATTGCAGTTTTACGAGCAGTTTTTAACTCACCCAACACCCACTCTAAATAAAAATATGGTAAAACGAACAAAGATTGTGTTACTTTTAATACACACTTGTTTAGTTAAAGATAACTGATTTGTATTGAACACAACCACTGTGTTATTATACTTAACAAAAGCAATATGGTCAAGGTTTTACTGCAAATAATGTGTTAAAATTTCATCCACTAGTCAAGACTGCTGTATGCTGCTTGCATGACACACATGTAAAGTCAAAAATCACTAATGTACATGTTAAAGGTAGTCCACAATGTGATTTTCAGTCTAATCTTAACACTTATTTGACACAATATGAAACAAAATGTGTTATAATAATGATGCTACAAAAAGTGTAGCACATCGTTTTGAAGAGTATGCTGTCCAAACACAATACACATACTAGAGTTAATGAATATGTAATTAAATTGACAGTAAATCAAGCAAACAGGTACAAACTGACTTTTTTTTACAAGGTTTAGTAGATATATCATAAATGGACTAGGCCCCACACTCAAGCAAACAAAACAACAACTGACAAGATGCTAGCAGTACAATAAAACAAGATACTGTAGCATATTAAGCGAGTCCCTGGAGGACTAGTGGTTAGGCCTCGATGCTCTCACCGCTGTAGCCCGGGTTTGATTCCTGGCCAGGGAACCGACCCCCAGCCACTGGGGCTGCACAAGACAGTGCACTTCCAGTGCCGTTCCCAAGCCCGGATAAAAATTGGGGAGGGTTGGGTCAGGAAGGGCATCCGGCGTAAAACTGTGCCAAATCAAATATGAGGACCCCTAATGGGAGCAGCCGAAAGAACAACAACAACAACTGTAGCATATTAAGTGTGTGTCTTCTACAGTCATGGGCTTTATATGACTCAGTGCTTTCCATATGGCATTTTCACCACAGCAAGCATTTTCCATTTATTTCAAAGTCAACTGTACAATCTGTACAAGCGCTGTTAATTAATAACTGTTAGAATTAAATAAGCCTCGTAAATTTGTTCATTTATTCCAGGATAAAGAACAACCATTTCTGTTAGGCAGACTTGAATCAACCCAATCAACCCTATTTAATACTGAGGAAACCGACTAGATGAAATAATAGTCTGCTTTGGTCGACAGTCCATAGACCCCTTGGAGTGCCCCCCACCTCCGTTGTTGGCAGCGGCCCCGGAGCCGCAGCGCTGCCGGCGGGGGAGAGAGGTAATAAATAACCCGGGGAGAGGAGCGGAGACCGCCGGACGGTGCACGCTCTGACCTGACAAATCCTCCCTGGAAAACCATCAGAGGGCGAGAGCCCACCCCTAGCGCTTGGAGCCAGCCTTTCAGACATGAACAGCGGCAAAATATACTAGCAGGAGTGGAGGGCAAACAAGCGGCGTCTTTCACTCCACTCCTTTCCCTTAACCGCCACGCAGACACTCAGAGAGCAGCTCACAGTTCACTCCTTTGTGAAACGCTGTAAATTATATATATGTGTGTGTGTGTGTGTGTGTGTGTGTGTGTGTGTGTCAGTGACTCATATATTATAATATGTTCCATCCAGGATAAGAAGCCTATCCGAGGGATCTTGGGGCACAGGGCAGGGGACACCCTGGACAGGGTGCTAACCCATCACAAACACACTCACACACCACGGACAATTTAGAGATGTCTCCCTCTGGAAACCAGAGTACCGGGAGGAAACCTCCAAAGCATGGGAAGAATATGCAGGCTCCGCACACACAAGGCGGATACGGGATTCAAGCCACCAGCCCCAGAGGTGCAAGGCAAGCATGCTGACCAGTACGCCACCGTATATATAGCCCCTACAATACATTCAGCACTTCATACATTTGTGTTGTTAATTTGGCTGCTGTAATAGAAGACTTGTTTTGATATCATGCTTATTCTAATAGGGATGCTAAATGGTAAAACTGATGACTCCAATGAGGGATCAAAGTTTTAAAAAAAAATTTTTTTTTTTGCTTGAACAGGCAAGGTAGCTGTTGCCTAACAGCTCCAGGTTCCCTGAGCTCAGTGTGTGTGGAGTGTCACATATTCTCCCAGTGTCTGTGTGGGTTTCCTCCAGGTTCTCTGGTTTCCTCCCACATCCCATAAACATGGCGGTGGACTGGCTACTCTAGCTTGCCCCTAAGAATAAATGGTGTGCATGGTGCCATCCAGGGTGTATTTCCTCCTCATGCCCAGCGTTCCCGGGATAGGCTGCCGATCCACCATGACCCTGACCAGGATAAAGTGCTCACTGAAACTAAATGAATGAATGATTTTTTTGGCGTTGACATACTGTTTTTAACCTGTTCACACACTATTAGAGCCTATTTGTGCTATGTTTAATTGTCACGTCACTGAAGACCAAATAAGTAAACGCTTTTGAAGAAAAGTAAAAGCCTACTTGCAGCGAAACAACCTGTCAATTGAGGCAGCCAACCAGTTGACAGCAAGAATGCAAGTCTTCTAAAGCAATGTCAGTTAGCGTGCAAGCTTGGTGCAGATGACAGAAGATGACATAGGGAATGTTTTTGCATGCACGCATGTACGTGTGCATGCGGGCTGGTTATAGGACACTCTTGTGCACATGCTATTAGCAAAACAGTCCACCAGTCCTACTAATGAATTATCAAACGTGAATGTTAAACCGTAAGTATACGCATAGTGCCACCAAAAGCAAAAAAAAAAAAAGTTTCTCCTAATGTTTTCAAACAGCGCTTGCAGGGAACTAGGCTGATTATAAACCTTTTTCACAGCGGGTTTAGCCTGATGCAGGCCCCTGTGTAATGTGAAACCCGTAGGCGCTTGGGTCAGTGGTGTCGTGCAGTGCCATGGCGGCGCCTTCCTTCTCCTCCTCCTGCCTATCCTTCCTCGTGCTCATCTGCGGGGGTCACGCGGCATGCAGAGATCTGGCAGCCAGAGAAGAGCTGAAGTTGAGAGTAGTGTCAGGAGCTGTCAGCGCCCACAGGAGCAAGTGAAGACGCAACACCCGCACCCCCTCTGACCTCCCAAGATACTTCTTATCACTTCCAAAAGCATACTAGAGCACAAACATTCGTGCACATGCACAAATGTACACACACACTTTTCTGTTTTAAATAGGCTGACTTGAGCTGTGAAAAAAAAAACCTAAATGAAGATTAGGAACTATGTTTGATCCATTCCTACATCTGAAATGTATAACATTTATGGAAGGAGTTTCCAGTGTCAGCACTGTGAATTTTTTTTTTTAGGACCAAGCACTCTGCGCTTTCTCAGTTACATGACAAGCTGTGGTTTTTGTCTTATTAACTTAAAACAGAGAGGAAAAAAAAAAACAGAGGGACTGACTGTTGATAGATGCAATAACACAAGTGATAAGAGGAACTAACTTTTCTCACAGACATTCCACAACATTAAATGTTACTATAAATGGTTAAATGTGCAATGTATCTTTCTAATTTTCATACACCCGTCATCAATAAAGTGATTCTGATTAACCCTGATTAAATGAAGATCAACTGTTTCTGTATGATTTTCTTGACATCTTCTGACTGACTGAAACCATGGTCCGCAAAGCATCTACAAAATGTCCTTGTTGAAAGGTATTGATCAGGAGTCGGGTACAAAAGAATTTCCAAAACATTAGATGTACCAAGGAACACCATTATCAGGCCATCATCAGGAAGTGGAGAAAATGGGACACTACAGTGACATCACCAACACAAAGAAGGATGTCCCTCCAAAACTAACAAAAGGAGAAAGAAGAAAACTTATTAGGGAGGCTGCCAAGGACCTACAGCTACATTATTGGAGCTGTTACTGGTTACTCCCTGTATATGGTAACAGTCCCTCATCTTCTTCACATGTCTGGGCTATGGGACAGGGTGGCTAGACAGTAGCCCTTTCTCATGGAAATTTCCCCCCGCCCAAACCAGCCTAAATCACCCCTAACCATGTAACGACATGTGTTATCGTCTGATGAGAGCAAGGTAGAACTTTTTGGGCACACTTCTAAAAGATATATTTGGCTCAAAAACAAGACCGCTTAGCACCCAAAGAACAGCATAACCACGGTGAAGCTCTCATGAATAGCTCCAAATACCAATCTATTTTGGCACAAAACCAGCAGGCCTCTGTAAGACAGGTGAAGATGAAGAAACATTTTAACTTCCAGCACGATAACAACCCAAAGCACAAATCCAAGTCAACAAAGGAATGGCGTCAGAAGAAGATCTAAATCCTATGTGGAATGACTTGAAGAGGGCTGTGCACTATTTGATAGACCTGGAGTATTTTTGCAAGGAAGATTGAAATAAAAAAAACAGAAACCTCAGTGAGGAAATCTAGAGTCCCATTTGGGTTCTGCATGTCGCCTACTGGGGTTCTGCATGAACTATTGCTGTGGTTAATTGTAAATCACCATTCATGGTAAAGCATTCGAGTGCCTTTCTGGATATTGTGTTGTGCAACAAATATATGTGTGTGTAAATCTCTTAATATGTGCCTAAAGGAACAAGCTCATTCTACTTGGAGATTGTTTAAGAGTGTGTTTAGAGATTTTGTTAAGTTGTCTTCTGTAGTCCATTTCCACAGGGCTGCATATATAGTGTGGGCACACCCTTTCCTTTAATAATTTGTTTGGGAAAGGATTGGGCATCCCTGGGCTTGTGGGAGTTATTGGAACCAGTTTTCAACTGTTTGTGTGAGGCTGTGATAGGACCATAAATTATTTCTTATCTTTCCCACAATCCATTTTTCATAGGGTTTACAATATGCGAAGGGGTTTTAGAGCAAAGCTTACAGTCAGCACTCCACAGAACTGCATTTATAGAACATTTATTTAGGCTACAGAAACAATTAAATTCAGCATACTGTAAGATGCCAGTGGGGCAATGTCCATTAAGCTGTCTGCTACTATTTTTGATATAACTGGGAGCCAGCGGAGCCAGATTAGAAAGAGACACATTAGAAAACTTGATTAAAATATGAAATATGGTGGACAGAAAAAAAACAAAAAAAAAACTGTAGACCAGCGCAAGACTATATACAGTAATTCCATATTATATGGGGTGCTATGAGAAAGCTTGCATATAAATGCTATGGTTATAAATGAGCTTTTATATCTTACTTCCTACCTAGACTGAGTCAGAGCATGATTAAATTTGCCAATATTACTACTTACTTTCTTTTTCCCTTTTTAACATAGTAAGTAGTTAAGTATAGTGAGTTTCTTCCTATCATGATGAAAAATGCCTGCCACCCATGTCACCCATTGGTATAGAAAGTGACAAGATGAAAATGATGATAAAAATGATTACAAAACAACTCAAGCTCAACCTCTAGGTTTCAGTTTGGTTCCAAGTAACCAAAATCACAATGTTCTTTACAAATGCAGTTCATCAGATTGTTAAAACTGGATGAAGCCATATTGGCATGCTTAAATTAAACACACAAATGTTTAATATTCCCATTTAAATATAGTCTCATGACACCTGTGGTCATCAATCAAAATTATATTTTGTCAGAGATTAAGACAATATTAGTCTTTTTGACAAAAAGATTTTTTTCTAATGCACTGCAGAGAATATACACTGTTCAAAGTGCAGACTTGTTTTTCTTTTGTATTTTAACCAAAACACATAGTGTATATCTATATATAGAAAAAAAATATATAATATGATAATG